GTAGGTAATTAGCCTCTTCGATCTGTAATAGATATGCTATACATTGTCTAGATTATTTTCTCTGATAGTGGATCAGATCTCCCTGATTCATCAATTGTGTTTCTGCTTGCATGTTTCGTTCAAAGATATTAACACGGGTATCAGTTTTCGATCGGAAATTCAAAAGACATGATACGCATAAAGCAATAAAGCCGGGCGGAATTTTAAATAAACGGGCACTGTCACGGGGAAAAAAGTTTATCAATTATTATTATTATTATTATTATTATTATTATTATGACGCCTCGAATGACAAAAAAATATGCTACTAGAATGGGGGTTAGGGATCGCCACCCACATTTTTTTTTATTTTACCTTTTTTTTTGTTGTTATGAATTTGCATATAAATGTGCCTAACATTCTCTCTTTGGGAAGCCTACATATTTGCTCGCGACCCATTTTGCCACACCAGAAAAATGTCCATTAAGTATATTGTGAACGACAATTAATATTAAATTAATGTGAAGGTAAACAGTACAGACGCCCGTAAATATTATATATATATATATATATATATATATATATATATATATATATATATATATTTTAAGTGTTTCACCCAATGCAAGGCGGGAAGCCACTAGGACGCAAGGGGTTACAGAAGATTTGGAGCAAGATCAGATAGGAGTGATAGAGGAAAGGATGAGGAGAAGGATAGTGGATAGATCAAGGCAACTGGTATGAATGAAGAAATGTAGCTTTAACATGTGCTATATTTATGGGATAAAATGCTCAATATGAGAGATAGAGCGTATGTAAATATAAAGGCGCCAATTGAAGTCAACACGCAAAGGCGACAGGCTGCTCCATGCTAGAGGCAATCGTCAGGCCGCGAGTGTTGGGTTTTTGTCTCGACTATTTATATATATGGGTCAGTGGTGCATTGTAGGTAGGTCATTCTGGCGGTTATTTTGACGGGAGTCGCTTGTTTATTTATTTATCTATCTATTTATTTATTCGGATTAACTTATTTTACTTTTTTTTATTTATTTTTATTTTATATATTTATTTATTCTTTTCGGTTTTTCGATGTTTTATTAACGTAGAAAAAAGTTGGGTGATTTGCTTAGGTCACTTATTTAATAGTTTATTTTGGTCTGGGAAGTTAATTAAAGCTATTTAAAGCTATTTATTCGATGGATTTTTGGATTGATTTCTGTAGTCTATTCTGTTATTTTGGCGAGGGGAACAGTTTTTAATTTGTTTAATATTTTATTTATTTATTCGCATTGATTGTTTTTACTTGTTTTGGCTTATTTATTTTATTTGATCTAACGGTTATTTTAGCGGGATCGTTTTGCTAATTTGCTTATTTATTTATTTATTTATTTGGATTAATTTATTTTACTTGTTTTCTTTTTATTTATTTACTTATTTTTTTTATTTTATATATATTTATTTACTCTTTTCAGTTTCGATTTTTAAATAACGTAGAGATTTTTTTATGGTTATATAGCAGTTATAGCTATTTTCTGGTCCAAATTTTGGATTGATTGATGTCTATTCTAACAGTTATTTTGGCGGGATCGTTTTTTTTTAATTTGTTAATTATTTACTTTATTTTTTTATTTTTTTTATTTTTTATTCGATTTATTTTCTCTATTTCAACCGTAGTGCTTTGTTATTTTTTTTTTTATTTGCTTGAGTTAATTTATTGATGTGGACCCAAAGTCGGGACCACGGAAGGAAAACACGGAACACGGATTAGAGGTCAGAAAGATATATTAAACAAAAAGGTTACAAAGATAGTTTAAGTGTAAGCGGAGCTTACTATGGGCTAGTGTCCAATATTGGTAGTCGCACGCGGCTGATACTACTGTATTAGAATTTTTTTTCTCTTTCTCTCTCTCTCTCTTTCTTTCTCTCTCTCTCTCTTAGAGTGTTATATCGCATACTTTATATAGTCCTGGAAGAGTCCATGTTGTAGGTATGTTACGGTCTTACAACATTTATTTTACTTGTTTTTTTTATTATTCTTTTCAGTTTTCGAATTTAAGTAACATAGTAAATCTCCAGCTGCAGGATATCTACTAACTGCCCCACGAGGTTAGATGTGGCACAAGTCCGAATTTAATGTGGGGTATCCGAGCCCGTAGGCTCGGCCAAAAATTCCCCGTAGCCGCCGTATAATACGGGGCCGGGTAGCTGTTTCCCGTGACCAGACTCTGCCCTTCGACATAGGCTCATCTGGGGATCCTCTCTGTTCGGGGGCAGAGAGTTTGACCATTATAGCTGGAGTTGAATCTCCACCTGCAGGATATCTACCGACCACCCCACGCGGTCAAATGTGAAACAAGGTCGAATTTAATGTGGGGTATCCGATCCCGTAGACTCGGCCAAATGTTCTCCGTAGGTTCTGTATAATGCGGTGTCGGAGACATAGCTTCGGGGGCAGAGAGTTTGACCAGCACAGCTGGAGACGAATCTCCGACTGTAGGCGAACATAACGTATTTACTACTGTTTTTATATGAATGGAGACATATCCATTATCGCCCGTTGAATGTTAGAACATAGTACTAGCTTGATTTTTGCATTTCCATTTCGTCATTCGCTTCCTGAGTAATTCCTTTTGCTGACAACCATATAATATGCCTTCTTATAATTCATGTTTACTACTCTCTTTTATTTCTTACAAGAAATATGGTTCTACAGAATAATAATGAAAATTACTTGGACGGAGCAAGCAAGAAACAAAGAATATATATATATATATATATATATATATATATATATATATATATTAAATTATTTTGTTTAAATATGATTCCTTCACTACATAAGAGTTCTCATGTTTCAAAAACGAGAGCCGAAACCATCAATATCCTTATTAAAATTAAATTGAATTAAAGTAACAAGTCCTATTTCATCCTCAAGCGAAAATTTAGGAATCTAAAAACAAGAGCCGAAACAAAGAAACAAAGAACACATATATATATATATATATATATATATATATATATATATATATATATATATATATATATATATTATAATTATTTTTCTTAAATTTGATTCCTTCACTACATAAGAGTTCTCATGTTTCAAAAACAAGAGCCGAAACCATCAATATAATTATTGATGGTTTTGGCTCTATGAATTTGGTAATAGCACCAGAAAAACAATATTTGATGATACGTTGTTCTTAGTAGGTCGAGAAATAAGCAGACTCTGAAATTAAAAATTGAATCTACGGACTGTCAAGTATTACTCAGACCTTCCAGTTGTTACAGACAAATGTGATTTGGGAACTTTTAGAGTAAGCATAATTTTGGTTGTAAATCCGTAAAATTTATGATGATAATATATGGATATCTTTCTTTAGGTATTTATAAATTGTACGATGTGCAATTATTATCTCTAAAAACGAACTATTTAAAATACAAAATTGTACTTACAAAATATTATACAAAGACATGACAGAATTGAATAGACACCAAGATAAATTTTATTTCTGATTTTTTTAATAACCAAGATAAATTAACTTAGATTATTTGATTAAAATTGCAGATAACAATACTGGAACATGCCACGAACCAAAGGAGCATCAGACCGATCGGAATTTCAGCGAGGACGTATGGTGGGCCAACATGAAGGTGGTCTTAGTCAAAGAAAAATATCTGAAATTCTTTCAATACCCCTTTCTACTGTTAATAGAGTGATTGTACAATTCACCAGAGAGGGCAAGAAGTGCACAGAACCTCATCCAGGCCGCCCTGCGTCTTGTCAAAAGAAATGTTGAACAGGATCCACGTTGCAAGGCCTCTAACATAGCAACACAAGTTGATGTCAGTCCTACAACAGCTGTCAGGTATCTTCACAAGCTGGGCTACTATGGCAGAGCTGCGAGAAGGAAACCACTTCTCCGTCCAGCCAATATCAAACGCAGAAAGGATTGGGCTCATGAGATGGTGGAGAGACCTTTGACCTTTTGGACCACTGTCATTTTCTCTGATGAGTCAAGATTCGCATTATTTTCCGACAGTGAAAGAGTATGGGTATGGAGACTCTGTAGTCAAGAGTTTGATTTGAAACGACTGCAGCCAACGATGAAACATGGGAGCCTTTCAAAAATTGTATGGGGTGCAATTTGGAGTGATGGTCACTCAGAGCTTGTGGAGTGTGAAGGAAACATTAATTCAACCAAATATGTTTCTATATTAAAGAAAGGGCTCCTTCCAATATTCTCAAGTCATAGAATGAGCAAAGTTGACTCCCTATTTATAAAAGATGGAGCTCCATGTTACACTGCTCAAGCAATGCAACATTGGTTGAGACAAAATGGGATCAAAAACTTCCATGGTCAAGTCAGTCCCCGGATATTAACCCTATTGAACACCTTTGTGGCATATTAGATCGAAAATTCCGCAAAAAGAACAGGAAGCCATCTTCTAAGCCCGAACTTTTATGATTATTGCGTCAAACATGGCAAGAAATCCCTCAAGATGATATTCGTGAACTCATCGCTAGCATGCCTAGAAGGGCCCTTGCATTAAAAAAAAGCAAAAGGGATGGCAACCAAGTATTAGTTATTAAATTTATGACCATTTATAATTATTTCATTTGTATAGATTACTTGTTTAATAAAATAAACGGTTTCTGTGAGCGTCTATTCAATTCTGTCATGCCTGTGTATATTATTCATAATATATTCCCTCTTGCTGCTAAATTTGACGGCACGGGTAGACTAGTACTTAAAGAAAATGGTAACAGAAAGAACATATACAAGTAAAGATAGCTTAAATTCTTTGGACACATAATGAGAAAGGACGGCTCGGAAAACTTAACCCTCAGAGGGTATATTTAGAGCAAGAGAGATAAAGGAAGTTAGCGAGGGTTCTTACCTGACGAGCTTATGGTAATGGTTAACGGAATTGTGGGAGGTTTATTTAGCAAAGGGAGAAAAACTTCCAAGAGCCACAAGTGGAGAATTATTAATGTACACACCATATAGATGAAGAATATGTCAACTCTCTCACAGTATAAAAAGAGGTCTAAGGTGAAATATATACAATTGAATAAGTAATTGTTTTATCTCTCAAATTGATATTTTATTTACTAAATTGATCGATAATATTCCTTATAATCCCGAAGAAGATTACTCAAGGATTTTGTCTTTTCATTAAGCAGATGTTTCGTAAGCAGATTGTTTAGAATTTAATAGCGTCTTCATTAATTAAATAATGCACAAATGCCTTTGAAGTCTTTTACGTAATCCCCGGTAGGACATCTTCAATCTTCTTGTAATGTTTTTTTTTTTATTTCTCCTTGAGATAGGAATATTTTATTTCTGTTTATTTGAGGGCTTTCTCAATGATGAAACTGAATAGAATTACGCATCATGAAAAAGGATATTCTCCTCGAGAAATTCGCGATGACTGCACGTTATCCATTTTATTTCTAAACCCCAATTTGCCTCTTTTGTTATAGGTGTTTACCTAGTCGGCTTTGATGTATCTTAGTAGAATCGTTAGTGTAATGTTTAACGAGCTGACCAGAAAAGATTATTGTAATCAAATTCAGATTCTACTGTCCTTGTTGGAAATATTGGCTGAGTTTTAGAAAGTCAGTGAAAAGAAATCTTGACGCTGCTAAAATGGCCAACTCACAATATCCAAGTCCTCCTGGCATGGCCTATCACTACAAGAGCCAAATCAGTTTAGCCTCCCTAATAATCAAACTGGACAGAATTACTCTTCAGAAAAAAAAAACAATACAGTGGAACCTCGGTTCACGAATTAAGTTCGTTCCTGAAGGCCGTTCGTAACCCGAAATGTTCGTAAACCGAAACTATTTTTTCCAACAGGAATCAATGTAAAATGGATTAATCCGTTCCTGGTCCCAAGATGATTGTTTATTTAAACAGTACCAACTGCACAAGTTTATACACAAAACTAATGAAAGTCATTAAATCTAAGAAAGAAAATAAACCCAATACTAAACAGATAAAAGATAGACGAACACTTCAATTTTACCGTACCTGTACGTAGGAGAATTGATGGCGTTAGTGGAAGTGGAAAGAAAGAGATTGTTTTGAAAGGGAAGACATGATCGTCTCTTTATTTATAAGAATAGTATAGATCGTTGATTTTGCCATATGGAACTGAATAAGAAAATATTATATTATCATCATGGAGATAATATCATCAACAATTGTTTTTTCTTAACTTTTTCTTCGAAAAAAAGACACAGTACAATAAATTTGGAAAAGAAAAGCACACAGACGAATGTATACAAGATGGCGGTCGACTCAGAAATCATTCCGTTCGGATTAATTCGATTCGGCTCGGATCGGCTCTGTTCGGCTCGGTTCGGCTCGGTCCGGCTCTGTTCGGCTCGGTCCGGCTCTGTTCGGCAATGTTGTTGAAGAACCGAAATTTTGTTTAATACCGAGGCATTTTCAACACGAATATTCTGTTTGAAAGACGATTTATTTGACGTGTGAGACGTTCGAGAACCGATGTTACATTGTATTTTTTTTAAGAAATTCGGACTCACTCTACGATATCCAGTTCGTTTCTAATTCCCAAGTTGTCTCTCGTTTTATGAGTATTGACATAACCCGTTTTGATATAACATAGTAGAATCCTTGATGTAAGGATCTGCCCAGGCAACTTACTATGAATTAAATTCAGATTCTACTGTTCTTTTTGCACAACAATGCTAAATTTTAACAAATCAGGGTTTACAAAATTTGCCAAGGAGAGGACGTTGCTAAAATGATGATGACTCCCACCATACCACAGCTGACATGGCCCAACTCTGCCAAAACCAGACGGGAATGAAAAAGCTATTTCTATTGCCACATCTGGGCCTCACGTTTCAGCCTTGACGAGGTTCCAAAACATCTATCGGCCTTGTGGATGATGAATTGTTTCACACCCTTCAAAATCATCCCCTAAACGGATAGTTGCTAGCATCGCTCTGCTCTACTGCTGTATAACTGGCAAAACAGAACATTCAGACGAGCTTCATAGATAGTAATCTTTGCCACGTAAACATCGTCGAGTCATTTTCATTCAGTTCATATTCCATTCGTAATGAAGAAGTTACACCCAGACAATTTCTCCAGAAACTGATCACTAAAACCATAACTTCTCCAAGCATCAAACATTATCCATTGTACGTATCCTCATAACATTGTTCCATGCTATAAGCTTTTAAATGATCCCTATTCAGTGATGCTCAAGTTTGAGTGGCCAATAGATATTATACTTAGTCATTGTTCCTAAGGAAACTATATAAAGAAAATTACTCAGTCGGATAATGTCATTTATAATAAAAAAAAATAGATATTCGGAGGAGAAAAACAACGAACAAGTGCAAAGAATAAAATTTTTCTTTGTGATTGAATTTAATGTTAGTGGTTGATATGATTAATCCGTCTTTTTTAGGTGTAACAGGAGCAGCTGGAACTAGAAATATTGATTCGGCCTATTTACGCTAAAGGACGTAGTAAAATGTCACAGTTGAGAGGGGAATCAAAAAACTAACACTAAGCAAGAATATCTATCTATCTATCTATCTATCTATCTATCTATCTATCTATCTATCTATCTATCTATCTATCTATCTATCTATCTATTAACTCAGTCTATTCATTATCTATCTATCTATAGTTCGATCGATCGATCTATCCCAGTCTCCACATTATGTATCTATAAATTTCAGTTTCTTAATTATCTATCTATCTATCTATCTATCTATCTATCTATCTATCTATCTATCTATCTATCTATCTGTTATGGGATCTTACCCATAATAACAATAATTGTTCGTACTAACACTTCAACTTCTCTGTATATATTCCTGTTTGTAATATATCTGTGTTATTCCATACCTGTGTTCGAGTTCTTATTTGGTTCTACCTTGGGCTATAACCGTGGTACAAGGAACCGGACCATAACACTATCTATCTATCTATCTATCTATCTATCTATCTATCTATCTATCTATCTATCTATCTATCTATCTCAGTCTCTTCATTTACTACCTTTCTCGGTTTATTCATTATCTACTTCTCAATCTATCTCACTGTTCATATCTAGCTATCCAGGTCTAACTATTTAATTTATTTTTTATATTATTCAATTTTTTATTTCATTTGATTTGCTTTATTTTTTTGATGTTAGATATTATTATTATTATTATTATTATTAATTTATTTATTTATTTATTTAATTATTTAATTATTTATTTATTTATTCGAAATTATGATGATTGTAATGCGATGATTTCTCTTCCTGTCTTAAATGGCAGGAAATAACATTTTGTTCAGACCTTTAAGGAAAAAATAATTTCTCGGCAAACCAGTCGGGTCATATTTATTTAACATTTCTGTCTTTCTCTCTCTATGTCAATTTTCTTCTTGTCTATTTTTTTTCCTTTTTTATGTTAAATTTTTCTTTTCTTTCTTCCGCTTTGATTTTAAAAAAATGATTTTCCCTTTTTCTTTCTTTTTTCTTCACCCGCTTCTTTTCGTCTGGAAAAAATGTTTTCATTTTTAAAAATAACCCTTGGGCTGAAAAGATGAATATTTAAATATTCATAAAATAAATTATAATCTAATTGATATTTAAGACTTGTCATTGCTTATTACTAAAAGATCAGACTCATCATTATCTATCTATCTATCTATCTATCTATCTATCTATCTATCTATCTATCTATCTCTATCTATCTATCTCTGTCTCTTTATTATATATAAACTTATCTATTTATGGGAGTCTCTTCATATCTTTCTACCTATCTATATATCCATCTGTCTGTCTATCTGTCTTTCTGTCTGTCTCAGTTTGTTCACATCTATCTATCTATCGATCGATCGATCGATCGATCGATCTAACTAAACATCAATATATCTATATTATCTAGTTATCTATCAATCTAAGACACTTCATTATCTATCTATCTATCTATATATCACTCTACCTCTTTCTCTCTCTCTCTCTCTCTCTATATATATATATATATATATATATATATATATATATATATATAAATGTATATGGCTCCATCTATATGTCACGAGATTTTTTTTCCCGCCCTATATATATATATATATATATATATATATATATATATATATATATATATATATATAAAAGGGAGAGAAAGAGAGAGTTAGATCAATCTCGATCACATACATTATCTATCTAGCTATCTTACTATCTATATATAACTCAGTCCGTTCATATTTGTCTGTGTGTCTATGTGTATCTATCTATCTATCTATCTATCTATCTATCTATCTATCTATCCCTCGACTAAATCTCGAACAGCAAGCTTTTTTATTCATCACAAATTGATCTTGATCAATTCTTCACATTCACTTCTGTTTCATCCATCTATGGAACAAATTATTCATTTATAATTTTCTTCCGAGGAATTATCTCATCGGACTTTTCTCAAAGAACCAATAACAGTCCAGGACTTCCAACTAAAATTTACCATCAGTTCGATATTCGTTATTTTGACCAGTTTGACAGAGTACATGCCGCTCAAAAAACTTCAAGCTATCGCCAGAAAACACTTCCAATTCATACGGATTTGGTTTGATTTGTTTCTTTTTACGGTGTTTCAACCTTAATGTGTTATTAATGGCGACAAGATTTTTATTGGCGGTAATATTTTTTTCAAAAAGTACTTTTGGTAATATTTCTTCCAAACATATATTGCTGGTAATATTTTTGCCAAAAAAGTATTGCTGGTAATAATCTATTGCTGGTAATAATTTTTTCTTCAATAATTTATTGCTGGTAATAATTTTTTGCAAAAATGTTTTGCTTGTAATAAAAAAAAGCCTTTACACGTTTGGGGGTTATCTATTTGCCCACAGCTGTCACCCTAACAGGTACTACCACCCTGGGCCAGGTTGACCTGGGAAAACCAGCAGTTAAGAGGTGGCTCCACGCTCATCAAATTAATTGAATACATTTCCTATAATTTCTGCAGGAATTTCTGGGATAGAGATTTATCGTTATTTACACTATTTACAGGCAGACAATTTTCTTCATCTTCGTTGTTATTACAACGTTTCGGCCGCGGTGCCCTCCGGCCTTCACCAGGTGCGTGTCGATCCCTTTATTTAATTAACGGATGTAGTCTGCTCTCGTTCGAATGCCAATGTCTAGGGATATCGCATGTACTTCTTTTTTTTTTAGTACTGATCGGTTATTGCCCGCCTGTTTTCAATGAGTTCAAATACACACTGCTTGTCTCAGAGATTGAACCCACAATTACGATGTCACGAAACGTACGAACCGAAGTTTTAATCCGTTCGTTTAATCTGTTGTTGAATAACATGCGTTTTTTTCCAAGAATATCTGAACGCCATCGAAAATCCCTAACATGATCCCATTTTGTTAAATACCTTACCTACGAACACTAATGGGTATGTTCCAATCCTCATAAATACGTTGGACACTATTGTAAGTTGTAATATTATGGTGTATACGTAGTTCACCACTAGCAGTGGTTTACCTACTTCACGCCGCTGGCGAGTATTGTATTTTGAGGATGTTATAGAGATTACCATTTCATTTCCAAAGTCCGGTTTGGCTATTCCTCATTCTGTAAGTCTTTCTAGGTTACAACACATTTATAACTCTAAACGCAAGATGTATATTTGTCATGTGACTGTGAATGTGTTTAAAATGTACGGATACTTACTCATGAAAGAGTGGACGAGCAACGGTAGAACCGGTTATGTGAGCCTCATACATTAAAGTATAGAGAAAAGGTAAAAGTTGGTAGCGTGTTGTCAGAACGTCTTTTATCGCTGACGTTGTAGCTGGACTCCATGATGCCGGGTCTTGGTCCTAAATAGAAAGAAAATGTTATCAGTCAAAGCGGGCATCGTCGCAGAGTAGCAAAAATTGAATTCTACAATAATTTCCAAGAAAACTGGGGCTTCGTATTATTCAAATGAGGTGCTACACAAACGTTATGTAAAAGTCGTATGAAAAGCAACCGATTTTTTTTATTTTTTATTTTATTTTAGTTTTGGTTGTTCGATAAAACACATAGCTGCAATAGACCTTCTACTGAAAGCCACATCAGACCATCGAAGAGGCCAGGCGCACTTTTGAGCTGACCTTTGAAAACACGTGACCTCACACTTGCATCCGGTTTTGCAAACGTAGGAAATGTTCATGATATAGACAGTTGCATATACAATCTCCAAAGTAAGGTGCTAGGGAATATCTCACACATGAAACCTTGGGAAAGATAGAGTAGTGGTTTCCTTTTGCTTTCTCCATGGTTTTGAATTCGGAATAGGGGATCAAGACTCTCCACAGCTCCCTGTTACGTGTGAATAGCCATGACATCTTGGGAAACATAAAGGAGTAGTTTCTTTTTACCTTTTTCCAGGGTTTTGGATTCAGAATAGGTGACCATGTCTCTCCATACATTCTTATTTTTTTCTTTTTTATCTGTGAATAACGATGGATTCTTAGAAAGGATAGAGGAGTGGTTTCCGATTGTCTTCTCTACGGTATGATTCCAGAAATGACCTTCTGTTAGAATTGTTCGACATCCAAGGCTACTTATTTAAACCAAGTGGCCAGTGGATGAGGAGGATTTATGCCTATCCAAAGGACATGACTCAGTCTTTGCCTGATAATGAAACGCGACAGACAAGTTTTGAAATTTGAACTCTGATCACCGATTACACTGCCCACAAACCCCACGTCTCCTAAAATTGCATTACGTTCTGACCTCTGAAAACCTCCCGAAATCAAAAATTTCAAAATTCAGTATGGATGTGAATGCTACCATTGTAATTTTAAATCATTCATTACGCTGTGACTGGCAGTCATTCTCTTGCTTAATGCCTACAAAACGAAACTGCTCTCATCTACCGACTACAGAGCAATCTCCCTGCCTCCTACAAGCATGGCTGATGCTCAACTTCAGGAGAGTGTCTCTTTGCGCCTTCTTGGTCTCACGTTTTTCTCTGACCTGAAGTCGAAAAACTACATTGAATCAATAGCTGCATCTACTGCAAGGAAATTTGGTTCCCTGAGTCGCACCAGAAGGTTTTTCTCGCCTGAGTCCATCCTTTAAATCTGCAACTCAGCCATTCGTCCTTGCATTGGATACTGTTGCCATATATGGTCTGGTGCCTCCGCTGTTCATCTCGAGGTTCTCGACAAAATCCAGAGACGGATATGCAATGCCATAGGTCCTAAGCTGGCATCTCGACTACAGTCACCTTCTCACAGACGTGATGTGGCTTCCCTCTGTCTTCTACAACTATTTTCATGGCAACTGCTCTGACGAGCTACTTTCATCGGTACCTAAACTGCATGAATTTAAGCGTGCTACTAGGTTGGCATCTAGGTCCCACCCTTTCGCTGTCGAAACGGTTAAATGTAACCGCCTCTTCTACTCCAACAGCTTCTTCTCTGGCACTTCCCGACAGTGAAAACCTCTTCTTACTTGCTTCCCTGATAGATATAATCTTCAAATATTCAAATGTAATGTCAATCGATATCTTCTGATGCGTTGATCTTGATTCCCGTCTTTCTAATTATCCTTTCCTCAAACAACTCTCTTTACTCTCCCTTTCACTCTCTGTAACCTCTTACGTTTTATGGCACTCCCTCCTTGCTTGGGGTGAGATGCGTAAAAAATACGCAGACTCACCAAGAGATGGTTTGGTTTGGTTTGGTTTGTTTTCTTTTACGGCATAACAACGTTACCTATACTTAACGTCAGTAAGAGGCATTTGAAATTACTGTGGCACGTAATGAGAAAAGAAGGTTTAGAAAATCTGATACCGACAGGACAGGTCGAGGGAGAGAGGAAAGCAGCGTGTAACATACTTGATAAGCTTGAGTAAATGAATTGTGGAATAGAGTTTGGGAGACATAACAAAAAGATAAAATTTATTAAGAGCTACAATGAACAGGAAGATGTGAAGGTCCATGATCGCCTACGGCCTCAAGTGGCACGGCACATAAATGAAGAAGATCCCCTTCAATCGCAAAATATTTAAATTGTTTTTATCTTTAAATTTAAATACAAAAGTACAAAGCAAACTAAGAATGGACAATAATTCAAAAATTATTTGAAAGGGAGCAAGAAAAGAAGAGAAAAGTAACGGCATATTTGCGCAACAAACGGCAATGTCTGCAAAATGATTTTTACATCCACAAGTCTTCCTTTTTTATAATTAATTCTTTTTTAAATAAGCAATTTAAATCATGTATGAGAGTTATTAAAATTAGGGATGGGCTATAGAGAGCTAATTTTTTAAAAAAAGGGAAGGGAAGCGTTTTATTCCACGCATTTGTGTCCAAATAGAAGGAAATGGGTTAACTTTTTGAAAATCTTTGAACATTGTAATGGAGCCGGACCGAAACATATATATATATATATATGTGTGTGTGTGTGTGTGTGTGATTAAATTGACTGGCCATGAATACCAGTTTCATTTTCGCACAATTATCAGGTGTTCACTAGCTGTAGTGTGTGAAATGGCAACTTTATAATCCTAGTCGAGTCCAAGATGGTGAAAGTATATGATACGTTCATATCATGCACATAGCAATTAACCTCACCGAGGCGGCAGGAAGAAAAACATCTATCTGACCGCGATGATAAAAACTGTAAATTTACAAATATTACCGTTATTACCAAAAAAAAACCTCAGCAAGTGATCCTAATGCTTTTAGACAAAAAAGAGCGATCGACCGTACAGTATAATACTCTATGATGGCGTTCTGTAGTCCGCCATCATAGAGTATTATAAATATAAGGTTAAACTAAGTAGCTCCGAAAAGAGTCCTATACAGATTGAGAAAAAACAGGAAAGAGTAATCGATGCCCTGTTAAATTGTAGAGATTTGTTTTTAAATTAAATTTCCAATGATCAATGACCAATCATGACTGCCAGTCTCAGACATTTTGATGCAATCATCAAGCATTTTATTTACTATTTATTTTATCCTCAATAAGAGTAGATAGGTCGGTCTCTCGTCCGGTTCACACACCGCCCCGATCTTTTGTACAGGAGTACAAGTGTATCCCTTGTTTAGAATTGTGTTTCCGATTCCTTTTAATGTTGTTTCATTTTCTTTCCCGCCCCTTGTATCTTAGGTGCATCACCGCCTTGATTGGGGTGAATTGATTAAAAAAAAATAACAGAATGTGGAAAGGGAAAACTGAAATACAAAAACGCAGTTAAACAATATAAGTTACGCAACACTGAGACCTCAGAAAGAAAAATGAATGTAGTATAGGAAAGCAGGAAGAAAGGACTAATTATTAGCTTTAAAGAAAAATGAATGCGTGGTTGTCAGGAAAAAAAATACAGCTTAAGGTAGGGTAAGCATTGGGGACATCGATATCAACCAAATATAGAAATGTAGTAACAAACAACAGAAAGTGAAACGTAGAAGTTCGAAGAAGCATAGTAAGATGCCTTTCAGAAATTAGGCAAATGAAGAAAATGTTCATTGAAACAGAAACTAAGCAAAGATAGGAAAAGGGTTATTTGTGGATGTTATATAATATCGAATCTAAGAGATTAGACTGTTATTTAATTTTTTATCTCATAATAATAAATGTTGAACAATATCCTCTCAGATGAACAGGAGGCTTGAATCTACAGAGTCCTGGTTCTATAGTCAAAAGCTGAGAAATTTATGGAATGGGCATGTGAGAAACGAGCACTATTAAAGAGAATAAGAACAACAAATGAAGTGGTGATAAGAATTAGAAAGAGACATTTCTAAAACACCTAATGAGGAAAGAAGGATTGACAAAGTTAACACTCAGAGGACACATTGAAGCAGAGAAAAAGAGCACATCACTCTGTTTGAATGAGTGAATGACAGAGAAGGATTACAAAGAGGGGGTGATAAAAAAAGAATCAACATTTGCTGAGAGGAACAAAGAAAGGCATTTGTGGAAAGCCTTGACCGGCCACTCACGTCCTGCATGTTTAGATCGGTTTGGTTTCATTTGTTTTACAGCATATCAACCTCAATGAGTTATTTAATGCCGACAAGATTTTTATTGCTGGTAACATTTTTTCTATCTATCTATCTATCTTAGTATATATTGGTTTGGTTTGGTTTGGTTTACGGCATATCAACCTCAATGGGTTATTTAATGCCGACAAAATTTTTATTGCTGGTTATGTTTTTTCTATCTATCTATCTATCTATCTATCTATCTATCTATCTATCTATCTATCTATCTATCTTAGTATGTATTGGTTTGGTTTGGTTTGTTTTACGACATATCAACCTCAATGGGTTATTTAATGCCGACAAAATTTTTTGCTGGTTATTTTTGGTAATATTTTTCCTTCAAAAATCTATCTATCTATCTATCTATCTTAATTTTTTTTTTTGGTTTACGGATATCATTTTTTTTTTTTATTGCTTTATTTCAAAATGTATTGCATCTTTTTTATCTATCTTTCTTTTTATCTATCTATCTATCTATCTATCTATCTATCTATCTGAGTATATATTGGTTTGGTTTGTTTTACGGCATATCAACCTCAATGAGTTATTTAATGGCGACAAGATTTTTATTGCTGGTAATATTTTTTTCTAAAAAATATATAGTTGGTAATATTTTTTTCAAATATGTATTGATGGTATAAAACCTATTTTTACACTTTCATAATTTTTTGATCACATTTTGGGGGTTAACTCTTTGCCCATAGCTGGGATCCTAACAGTTGCTACCCCCCGCACGTTTGGGTTGGACCTGGGAACATCAGCAATTAAGATTTGGTTTCACTCTCTTCAAAACTTCCTGAGCAGAGGCCTTGCAGTTGGACGTAGTTTATCGTCTTAACCGGGACAGTGTATGGCCAAAGCACATGAAAGAATTATGGAAAAAAAAAACAGTTTTTCGATAAAGAAATTTATTGCTGTTACTCTGGAAGTATAACGTGTGTCTGTATGCATATCTGTTTATGTGTGTGTGTGTGTGTGTGTGTGTGTATGTGTCTGTGTGATTAGAAGAAAGCGTTGCATTCATGGTAGCTTTTCTTGGTCATCTAAAAAGTGTAGAGTATATTAGAGACTAGACGGAATAGACATTGGAATCTTGAATAAAATCTTAGGAGAATCACCGCATCCACAGAGATTAGTGAATATTGCTGGCAAGCATAATAAATGGAAAATATATCCATTCAAAGATAGCTATATGGATTATTTTCACACACACACACACACACACACACACACACACACACATATATATATATATATATATATATATATATATATATATATATATATATAAAGTATAGGATTGGTGCACACGGAATAAATTCCAATAACCAAAAATATTATTATTAAAAGAGTGCTCAATACAGAGTTAAGCAAATATAATTTATTCGAAAATTATGTTATAAAATGACTACAAATTTTGTTTCAAGACATGCTAAGACACCAGAGGTTTGATTTTTTTGTAGCGATTTTATAACATATTTATGTTTTCGAATAAATTTTATAATAAATATATATATATATATATATATATATATATATATATATATATATATTGAATTTGATTGTTTGAAAATTTAGATATTTATCAAACCTTAACCTCCCAAATATGCACGTTAAAGTAACGCGAACTGACAGCGTCTAAGAATTTGAATGAAACCTGTCGTGTAATTTATTGGGGTTGTTGTAACGTCTTCCTTTAATGTAGTTCTTATCGCTCACCCCTTAACCACCTTTATCTAGAGACGAGACGCGTTAAATTTGAGCAACATCCAACCGACACACTGGGGTTAAAATAGGGAACAAAAATGATACATATGACACACTCATATCCTCTCTCCCACCTCACTTCCTCACTTCGTTAACTTTACGTATACTTGATGAGGTCAGTAAAAACGTGTGTTTTTCTTTTCATTTTTCATTTCAGCTTTTGGAAGTAAAGTCTGATGATCCAGAACCCTGTTAAAGGGGTTATGGTGAAATAGCTTATTACATGGAATCTTCACGTGGTCTGTCTTTTATTTAAACATATCTGCTCTGAATTTTACATTGAGCTCTCTGGATATCATCCTCCTCAAGTCTACCCATACGGATTACCTAAATTTGCATAAACTATATATATATATATATATATATATATATATATATATATATATATATATATCGATACATAGATATATGTATAAATATTATTTAAAAATATGTATTCATTGCAAAACAGAAATTTCTTGGTTCCGAACCAAAACCTTAATCTTAAATTTAACTTCAAATTTAAAGTTTATGTATCATTTCAAACGAGGTTGAATAACTAAATGAAGTTTTAAATAAATAGTATATTCTTTCTCTCTTGTTCTTAAGAAGTCTGCTTATAGCTGATGAAATAGAATAACACCGTGAAATGTAATTTACAAACAAGACAAATGAAGTTTCCGTACATCATGACTACTCGAGGTAAACGTATGTAAACAAAGCCAGTAATGGCGGACGTTCTGTGTACCCGACGAGTAAGAAGTCGAATTTATATTGTCCATAACTTCTAAACGAGTGTTGAATAAGTCCGGTTGAATAAAGCTTTTGGAGAAGGCTTTTGTGGAAACTGCATTCTTAAATTTTGTATTTAAACCTAGAATTTTATTTTTTAAATGTATTTTAACTCGTAAATTCGGCGTTCTTTTCTTGATAGCATTTAAATGAAGAAGAAAAAAGGACGCATCAAACGTTATCAATGCTATGGCTCGGTTGATTGAAATATGCAGCTAAAGTGAAATCATTTGATGTTTTTTTATGGTTATTGACCGAATACGAAATTCCATACATTTGATCGATATAATTTCCTTTTTGGCGTTTGTTGACAAAAAGGTAAATATATTATATTTGAACTGTCACAAGTCAAGGGAATATGTCTGCAAGATGACGTAAAAACACTATCGGTGATATTTTTACCTATTTGGCTTCGGGGTTTATTACATACTAGCAGTAGAGCCCGGCGTTGCCCGGGGATGTAACAGTAAGAAATAGATTAAGTATCCACCATCATAAAGACTGAAAATTAAAATTGACAAAGATTATTGTTTAAGGTTGACGGACACGCATGTCTTAATTAGTTTTTTTTTTTTTTTTTTTACGAATTGGTCAAACCCAAACTCAAACAAAAACATTGTTTTCAATCGTTATGAGTCTACCGATTGAATAGAATTTTATTATAAACAATTGTCTTGTAAATGGATTTTTTTAAAGCATTCTGAATGTAAAAATAAAGAAAAAAGTGTGCAAGACAATAAGAAACACTACCTGCCAAAAAAAAAAGTGAAGTTTTGTCGAAATCGGTTGAAAAATGTAGGAAATCCGATCCCATATATAAACGAACACACACACAAACAACCTGGGTTTTTATAATAAGTATAACTCGATATGAGTTGTCTCCCCTTCATTCTCGCGACAGCGATGTCTCTTAATCGTGTTTTCAAATTGATTTCGTACAAAAACAATTGAGTTTTTTCAATTTTTGGCACTGTTAGAACCACCGCAAGGTAATTTTATGTAGTCCTGTGAAGTTTTGTTGAAATCGGTTGAAGAATGTAGAAAATCCGATCCAATATATAAACGTACAGACACACATACACACACACAACCTGGGTTTTATAATAAGTATGATTACTTTGGTAATTTCTGTAGTCTCGATGTTGTACGGAGTGTATGTAAATTTGGAGAGTGTCGTCTGGCGTTAAATCGGATCTCAGTGAATGCTAAATAATTTCCTCATAGATGAAGTGGATAATCCTATTAATAGAAATGATGTTCTACAGTAAGTTGTTGAGAATATCATTAACGGATCCTGTATGTGACGATTACGTTTTCAGTTTCATTGAAACAATATAACACAGCTAGAATTCCTTGGATAAGCAAAGCGAAAAAAACTTAGAAAATATGACACCTACAGAACACAATGGAGTTACGAGAGGAAGAGTAAGTCAGTGAGTTTTCTGCCTGACGACGTTGTGTAAATTGACTACAAAACAAAGGAGGTGAATAGTGAAAAAACAATCATTGTTTGCCCTACGAAGTTGTGGAAATCTACGTTCTTAAGTGAGACAACATATAAAATAAGCTGATTTGTCTCGGAAATAATTATATTTTTTTGTTACGTTTGTGTAAAAGTTCGCAGCTAAAAATAAAACTTTCTGTAATCTACCCGCCCCGGAATATTTGTAGAATTTGTCTATTCGTATCGAAAATATCGCCTCGGCCACCAGTGTCACCTTCTAACCACTAAGAGGAACACGTGGATACTTTAACTAATGGCCGCTTACACTTTTTCTGCTTTTTGTTTTGATATGAGTTCTGGTGTTTGTGGTTTGATAAGATTTTGTTCAATTATTTTTTGTTGTTTCTTTAAGTATTATTTGGAGTTGTTTTTCGTTTTTTGTTTCTCATTTAAAAAAAAAAAAAACTGCATTTCTGGCGTTTAATTCACTGTGAAGATATTTAGTTCTCGTGCTAACTCTGAAAACTAGATCATGATTTATGGTGGAGATATTTCTGATATCGATTTCGGATCGATAATTTTTCTCTATCAGAAATAATTCCTGCGGCAAACCAGACAACGTCTTTCCACCTTCTCTTCCTTTCATTACCCTCTATTTAGTTTTTTTTTCCTTTATCTATATCACTGTACGATTTTTGTCTTTCTTTTTTGTCTGTCTTTCTTTCTTTTGTTTTTTTTTCTTTCTTTTGTATTTTTCCTTTCCACTGAATTTTTTCCTCTTTGCAGAATTTACGTCGTCGTTTTTGACAAATTTTATATCTATTTTCTTTCTATATTCTTTCAATTTTAATCTCATCTCAACTTTCTTTCTTTTTGTTTTTCTTTCTTTCTTTCTTTTTCTTTTTCTTTCTTTCTTTCTTTCTTTGTCTTACTTTCTTTCTTTCTTTTTGTTTTTCTTTCTTTCTTTCTGTTTTTCTTTCTTTCTTTCTTTTTGTTTTTCTTTCTTTTTGTTTTTCTTTTTTTCTTTCCGATAGATTTCTTCTGTTTACGAAATTCACGTCGTCGTTTTAAGCACATTTTAAATTCTTTCTTTCAATCACTCCCTCACTCCCTTTTCTTTCCTTCTTTGTTTTTTGTTTTTGTTTTTTTTTTCTTATTAAACTGTTAGTTTTTTTGCGACGTCACACCTTTGCGTTTTTATTGCTTGCTGGATTCTTTTTTTTTTTTTTTAAATCATTGCTTCTTTTTCTTCTTTTTGTGACCTCAGTTTTGATTCCACCTCCCTTTCATTCTTTCTTTCTTTCTTTCTTTCTTACATGTTTTTCCGCTTTTTTAAAAAATTCTGATCGTACATTAAATTGACTTTTCCTGCTTTAGTACTAAAGATATAAAATAAATAAAGATCTGTTTGGACTGCGTTCGAATCGAAATTAAAGTCAACACGATAGCGAAATACAAAGTCATTTATCCGAAATCACTGGAATTATGTACTATTTAGGAATATGGAATGGTAGTACAGCAGTTTGTATTAAGTCCGGCAAATCTTACGGTTTCATTGAAGGACTATGAGGGCCGTGTCACACTTTCGCAGTAACCACAGCATTAGAGTGTTTTGTTGACAAGCTTTTACTTATTTCTTATATACAGTTGCATGTTTACACATTGAAGACAATAAGTATATATTATTATTATTTTTTCTTTTTGGTTACAGGACTTTTTAGCTTTTATATTACATGACACAATAAAAACTTTATTTGCAAGCATTAATTTTAACAGCAATATATATGTAGATGATGCTTGCAAGATCATGTGTACAATGGGTTTCTTTTAAAAGTCATTTCTGTCATTCGGCAGTTCTGTGGTCCGGCAGAAAGATAGCTTTCATTTCCCTAGGTCAGTTATGGGCAATCTGCCTCCTGCGAGCAACATCGGACCCGTTTGGTCTTTCTGAAAGACACGTTTTATTTTGTAAGCAAAAGAACGTTTCTTTAAATTCTATTTTATTTCCTTCTCACTTGTTCCTCCACACACTCTCTCATACATAACCACATACATAATTAAAATGTTTTCCTGGTCGTTTTAGAATAATTACGGAGGAAATGAAAGAGCAACGGCAGCAGAATCGTAATTAATATATATATATATATATATATATATATATATATATATATATATATATATATATATAAAAAAAGTTTCAAATTAAAAATTATAATGTTTTATTTTATGAAAGTATTTATTTATTTATATATATATTTGATATTTCAAATTGTCCTCAATTTTTCATCAGAAATAACTGTTTGTTACAAATAAATTAAAATTACTGTTTGTTGGCAAGTAGCGTCCTTCGCGAGACGCGGACGTCACGTGATATGGAACGTCACTGTTCAGATATTCCTAACTTAAATCTAACTGTCATAAATATTTTAAAAAATATTTTTTACTATATCTAAAGAAATTGCTTAGCTATTGAAATATTTATAAAGATTTAAAACACCTAAGTCCCTATTCAACCCTAATTTATGTGTATTTAATTTTAAAATCCAATATGTTTTTTTTTTTTCTGCGTGTGAATGTGGAAGTAAAATCGGAATCTATTAATAAACATTTGCAGTTTTCTAATGTGTGTCCTGATTGATTGTAGTGTTTTAGCTATGGGGGAATAAGGGTTGTTTTGACGTATTGTTTGTTTATGGTTATTAAAACGAAATCTAAAATTGTTTCCAGACTCACCAATATATCCACTATTAGGACATAAGTTGCAGAATAAATAATAGATTACGTTATGGGTATCGCAGGTGAGGTTAGGTGGCTGTATCCTGATATTGGTGTTGGGTACGTAAATGTATTAGCTATTACTAAATGTTTGCAAACTAAGCAACGAGGTTTGTTACATTTGTAATTTCCTGTTTGGTTTCTATTGTTTAGATATTTGGTAGAGGTGAGGATAGCTGATAAGTTAGGTGATTGTTTCATTGCATTTATGGGTGGTTTATCGAAAATTTCTTTGATCTTGTTGTCTAATTGGAGGTTCTTGTAATCATTTTTAAATTGTGAATAAGTGTGTGGGAATATTGATTGTGGTTAAAAACCATGGGAATCCGATTGTTGTTTTTATTTTTCTTGTATGTGAGAAGTGTGTTACGATTTATCAGGATAGTTTTATTTAGTGCTTCTTTTATTATTTTTTGTTGGGTATTTGCATTTTAGGAATTGTTTTGTTAAGTTATTAATATTGTATAGAAAATCTAAATGGTCTGAGCATATGCGTTTGGTTCTAAGAAATGAGCTGTATACAATAGATTTTTTTTTTTAATTTAAAGGGATGACAGCTGTTAAAGTGCAGGAATTTATGTTGGTTTGTGGGTTTGTTGTATAGACTGGTAGAAAGTGTATGTTTGTTTAATTTTTATCATAACGTCTAAGAAAGGGATGGATGTGTATGAGTGCTCCATGGTAAATTTAATTGTATCGTGGAAATTGTTGCAGAAAGTGAAAAAGGTTTTTAATTTTTCTGATCCATGAGTCCATAATAAGAAAATGTCATCAATATATCTAAAGTAATGTGATGGTTTATATTCCGAATTGTCTAGTATCTTCTTTTCTAGAATATATATATCCGATGCGATGAGAACGAAAGTAATATATAAATTCCAAAGTTCACAGCATTAATCCAAAAGAGGGCTCGATACCGATAGTAGAGCGATAATTATTTAATTATTATAATTTATCAAATCGACAAAACCATTTTACTCACTACAAAGATGCAACTTGGTTTCAGTGCATTTCAACTGCACTTCAATGGGTGAGAATCAAAAATGGTTGTAGCCATTTTCGATTCTCACCCGATTTTCTTTTCGATTCTTATAACCATTTTCGATTCTCACCCGTCGAAGTGCAGTTGAAATGCACTGAAACCAAGTTGCATCTTTGTAATGTTTTTGTCTATATGATAAAATTATAATAAATAAATATATATATATGTGTGTGTGTGCTTTTATTTAGTGTTTTATACAGTTTCTCATGCGATCTATTTTTTTTCTTTTCGGATGATAAATTATATAAAAACTGTCCTAATTTTCTTTTTATTCGAGCGCTTTCGGCTATACATTTAGCCATTTTCAAGGATTCAATATTTTTCAAATCACGGTCAAGATATTGTGTCAATGTTCAAAGTTAGCGGAGTGGCCACGTTTACACTGTACACAGCAGAAAGAAAACAGGCGCGATCAAACTCAAACTTCGATTACGTGACCACCATAGTACTAACTATAAGCACGCATGAGCAGAAGGCAGACTGACAAACCTATCAAATTATTATCATATCATTATATGTTAGTTCCAAAGTATGGATAAATTTTAACTTACCTTCGTGTAATCAAATACAGAAAATTATTAGTAAATAAATGTGCTGATGATACCGGTAATATGAGTATATGAATCAACTTCCATAACACTTGGCAGCTGATCTCCCCTCAGGCCTAGCTCTAACAGCTCAGTGTTGGTGAGAACTGGCTGGTCTCTTTCAATGCGACGAAAACAAAACTAGCAATATTTCATCATCACAGATCAGACATTGAAGCCTCGTTCAGCACGATAGGTGGTAACAGAAGTTATGCATTTACATACATACATATACATATACATATATATATATATATATATATATATATATATATATATATATATATATATATGTATGTATATGTAAATTCATGTATGTAAATGCATAAGCTATGCATTTACATATGAATACATATACATACATTTATATATATATATATATATATATATATATATATATATATATATATATATATATATATATATATATATATATATATGTATATATATATATATATATATATATATATATATATATATATATATATATATATATATATATATATATATATATATATATATATGTATATATATATATATATATATATATATATATATATATATATATAATTATTTATTTAAAAATATGATTCAACGCTACGTTTATGTATCGAGCACTATGTTTTTTAAAATAATAACAAAAATACTAAAGAACTTTGGATTATTTACCTAACGAGTTCTTACCTATTTTCTATATATTTTACACACACACATACACACACACACACACACACACACACACATATATATATATATATATATATATATATATATATATATATATATATATATATATATATATATATATATGTATGAATATGAATATATATATATATATATATATATATATATATATATATATATATATATATATATATATTCATGTATGTAAATGTTTTGAAACTTACGTTTTCCACCTATCGTGCTGAACAAAGCTTCAATGTCTGATCTGTGATGATGAAATATTACTAGTTTTGTTTTCGTGGCATTGAAAGAGACCAGCCAGTTCCCATATTCAATATATATATATATATATATATATATTCAAAATATGTATATTATATTCAAAATTAAAATAATATGGTTACATTAAAAACCTTCTATTATTCAAAATACATAATTGATTTCTCAAGCTAACAAAATATAAATAATAATTTCGTCCTGGGTATGACTATGAATTTCATCCGCGTCCTGGGTAAGACGATAAACTACATCCACAAGCAAGGCCTCTGATCAGGGGGGGGTGTTGTAGAGCATGGAACCACCTCTTAATTTGCTGTTGTTCCCAGGTTCACACTGATCCGGGGTGGTAGCACCTGTTAGGGTCCCACCTATATGAAAGTTGTTAAACCCTCAAAAAGGGTCAATACACTATGAAAGTATAAAAATTGTTTTTAATACCAGCAATACTATTTTGGAAAAAATAATACCAGCAACACATTTTTGAAAAAATAATATTATCAGCAATACATTTTTGAAAAAATAATATTATCAGCAATACATTTTTGAGAAAAAAAATATTACTAGCAATATATTTTTGAAAAAAAAAATGTTACCATTAATACATTTTCCAAAAAAATAATACCAGCAACAAAAATTTTGTCGGCATTAAATAACCCATTGAGGCTGA